GTGCAAACAGAAGCAGACGAAGCAGCGAAGCTTAACACGATATGGCCAATCCTTGTCCCAGATCGCGTGTTGGGTAGCTTCCTCCCACCACCAATCTCGCTCCGTTGCCGGATCGCGGAAGCCTATGCGAGAATCGACCGACACACACACACGCACACACACACACACAAGCACACTCTTCTATACGCACGTACGAATACATACACAATCCACGTGTATATACACGCACGCACGCAGGGCAGCTTCTTGAATATCATGAGGCTCCCACGATTCCATCCGTTGTTCTTGAGAATTTGTCGCTTCAAGGGCAACTCTCGCACCTGACAAATCAAGTCACCACATTTCTTTTTCGCAGGCAACATCCGACGCCTGTCTAAGCAGCTCGAGAAACTGGTGCCCGTGGAGATCTCTTTTGTCCTGACATACTCCTGTGTCTGCTGCTCAAGAGAACCGCGTTATTGGACATTCTACAAGCCTGCCTTCACGTTGAAGCAAAGGTTCCACCAGAGACCTTCGAGTCGCCAATTCGCCAAGAGCCCGCCTGTGCACATGTTCTGAAGGATCGGGGCATGCATGCTGCTACGCAACGAGGCTCAGTGACGGGCACTTGCCGATCGGACCTGCGCCTCCCAAACCAACACACAGACACTGCGTCACTTGATGAACTTCTTCCCTTCCCGCCTCGCCACTCCACCAACCTGAAAGCAATGCGAAGCCAAAGCAAGCACAAACGATCACATGACGGATAGCTAGCCACCCAGCGTTCACAAGTCGAAAAGTTCTCCAGCATGCAGCGCGTACTCCAAGGACAGGACTCCGCCACTTCCAGGTCCAGCGCGACCTCCCCTCGAGCTTCGACATCCTCGGGCGCATAGGGCACAGGACAAAATTCAAACCGGGTACATGCTGTGACACTTTGGGGCAGGACTGTGTCTTCCACCGCTTGGGCAGCAAGCACGATCATGACGTGCTGCCACGGTCGCGGGGCCTTGACGGCAAAGCATGTGACGTCAATAGAATGTAAATTTGGTTGTACAATATAACACCGTTGTGTAATTTATTGCAAGTAAGTGACAGATCACGATACCACTCTGTTACTATGTAACTTTTGAAGCAGAGTACAAGTACCGCACCACTCATCAATGTGTATTTCCTGACAGTGGCGCGAGTTCAAGACTCCCATCATACAGTGACGTCGGACATATCCGGTATGCAACTGCATCGGATAACAACTTCAACTGCATGCACATCTGTAGGACCATAATAGGGACCACAATAGTACAGCAGGGCTTCACAACGTGGGCACTACCAGAAAGCATACTAACAAAGTACCATCTGGAAAGAAGCCGCAACAACCCACCCAAACCCTTCCCCCCTTGAGCTGCAGTCGGGTGTAACGCCATCTCCCGCCAGCGAGACCGTGGCCCACTGATTTCTGAGGGCAAAGCTGAGTGGTATGCCAGAATCGCGCCGCAAAGCCTACATGTTGAATCCGTGACTTTTCTCTTCAGGGGCAATTTCTCAGCATCTCAGCAGCAAGACTTGTAGCGGCCTGCCGACAGTCTCATCAGAAGCTCTGGCCATGGTTGCTAACCAGCTACAGGTAAAGAATCTTGAACCCTCAATGGCTGCTTCAAGGTTGACGGCCAGCAATCTGATGCGAGCATCTTTGTCGACCGACAGAGCTTCGAAAGATGGCAAACATCCAGCCTTTTTCGCATGAACTGAACGAGCCATGCTGTAGGTGGAGCACGAGTGCAGCGTCAGGACCCGCATTCCATGACGAAATGCCGTCCTCCGAAAGAGGAAATGCGGTCCTGTGTGCAAGTTCTTGCCACTTAAGAGGCAAAAGCTCCGCGCTGCCGGGCAAGCAATCAGACGATTTGCAGGACGCTGTGCCAGTGTGCCAATAAGGCTGTCGGACTGTCGCCTTTTTTGAAGCAGTGGAATCGGTGGATACCACCACGTCGCCTTGAAGTCGCCATTTTGTCACTTCACCGCTGCTGACTCAACGCTGGCCTGCGTTGTACGTAGTTGGTTTGCGATGTTGTCGGTCGACGAACAAGATTCGGTCGACGGTGACATGATCATGATCAGTTCCAGGAAGAGGGCAGCAATATCCACAAAGCTGAAACATTGATGGTGGCTGGCAGCTTTCCGTTCGTGTGACTGGGACCCACACCCTTTCCGAGAAGCGGCTTGCAATTTCTGACCATTGTTCCACGGAGCGAGTTTTCTTCACTTTCCCGATCAACTCTTGCCTCACAGGTGGCAGTAATGTAATTGCAAAGAGTGGGCGTGTGCGTATGCGTCACATACACACACACAAAGGTAAATACATATTTATATATCGTATGTATAAGACATACATACAAATCCACGTACATCTGGATACCTATCTCTATATATATGCACAGAAACAGTACGAACGACGAGCTGCATACGAATGTGAACACAGATAACATGCAAAAATATACAGTACGAATGTGCGTACATGCATGCACACATATTCCCAACCGCTGGCTTCCTGACACAACCAGGCTTTATTCGCACCACAAGGATCCTGAGACATAATGAGCATAAGGCTCTCAACGTCAGGTTCAACTTATGCCAAGTCAGACTTCGAAACGCAGCGACACAATTGCCAATGCTTGCGATTTTGCCTCCGGTCAGGCAGATGCAACAAATGGAGGAAGGCCTGGCAGCCAGTGAGTTCAAGATGGCCACATTCGCTTCAACGGGCAAGAGAAGTCAAATGGTGAGCGAGACAGCCTTGGATGGGACTTGCTGGCATGTTGCGCGAAGCTGGGCAAACTCTTGTACCTGAACGCTGGAGATTCTTTCACAGGTTGGAAGTGGGCTTTGAAAGACAGGCCGTCTGCGGTCCAGCTGAGGCACGGAGAGCAAAAGCGCAAACTCCGGCACCAACCTGCTGACACGGAGATGCTGGTGCGATTAGGGTCCCAGATGAAGCAAGGGTCCCGAAACATGGCATCATGCTACAGAGGAGCACCTTCCAGTTGAAGAATTATCACCGCTGACCCCAGGGGTTCGAAGACTGGGAAATTGAATGCCAAGCCACTCGTGAAAGACACCGTTCGCTGCGCCCTCGTATTCTGCAAATCGCTTCGCAGGACTTTCCTTCACGTTGGATGTGTTTCAGAACTGATGCTTTGAGGGTTCATCTCTGCGGGACCCTGGAATTCAAATCTGCTTTGCGGTGCCTCCTCCGAACCCTCAACTTGCTGGTCGTCGGCGGCACCTGTCGAATCCCGATGTTCACTTGCAAGCTGAGGGGAGCTACGCTGAGGCGCTGAATCTTCCGAATCTTCCGCCCACGGTGTCACGGTGACACGTCAATTGCTGAGGACAGAGCGCGGCAGTTGCACCGGTCGGGCACTATTCCTCAAAGCGCCAGCGAATACGAACAAAACACAGCACAAACAAAAAGTCACGAGACTGCATTAACAAGCCCACCCAATCACAAGGCCGGTGCTTGGTAGTTGAAGCGCAGTGGTCGCCCTGCTGAGAAAACCCGAGATGCATAGCGGGATGAGACCCCATTCATGGTCCCATGCCATCCTGTGCCTCTGACGGCGAGATTTCCATCTCAGAACTGCGGTCCGCATCAACCTTGATGTCAGCGGCTTCTATGTTTCTACGGGCTCTCACCTTTCCAATGTCTTCCGCCCAGCCTGGCAGCACCACTGCAGTGGCGACCACGGCCACCAAGAGACTGCATCCGCAGAAGCCTCACGTTTTGCAGCCGTTAACTGCCCGAAAGGGAGCCTAATCCCCGGCTATAGACTCTAGACCCTGAAAAACCCTGTGAATAGCGCTTCTCATGCTTTGCTTTCTGGGCTCCGGGCCGGGGAGTACCACCAGGCGAACATGGCTATTGGGACGATTGGTCGACCAATGCAAGTCCCAAAGCTCTAACACGAGAGACACTTGACCGCCACTGTCTTCAGTTTGGCTGCCTTGCCTTGTTACTGTCAGTGCCTGTCTTTTTTGCCGTGAGCCGAGTGATCGTTTGTAGAGACGATCAGGGCCGAAAGCTGCATAATCTAATATCGGTACCGTGCAAACAAGTGCCAAAACCCTTGAATCTCATGCCCGCAAGTGCAGCAGGGTTCCGAATCCGCAGAGTCCACAAAGCAGCTGCAAACCGTCCTCCACCAAAGAACAAGCGAGCACAAAGACAAATGCGCGGCCACCTCACTGCTTTTTGACAGGCGCGGGTTGGTAAAGTCTGACTTGGAAATTTGAATTGAAGCCCGCATCGGCGAACGGCGCAACAGTCGCGAAAGTTTACAGAACACTTCATCGAAGGATAACTTGCAGTCAGGACTCGGAGATCTTTTGACATCAATCGACGGGAAAATGATACATGTAACAAGTAACAGGTTTGAGTCTGCATTGAGGTTTCCTGGCGCGGCTGTAGAAACACCAGCGTGGACGGACAAGTCATGGACCGAGGCGACTGGCAAGGTGCACATTGGAGATGTGTCCCACTGCGCCATTGTGCTCTGAAGTGCCGTTGCCGACAAGCCCCTCTCCACTCAAACTGCCAGGATGTAGTGTACAGGAGCTGCGGTCCCAAATCCGCAGGGGAGCATGCAATGGACACACGGCAGTTAATCCTTGGGGCGAGGGTTGGCTGAGCGCACGGGCTCAGCCTGGACCGTCCAGATGCAGGTACGCAGTCACACAGACGGGAACTCCCGTGCACCGGCCACTGTCAAGCGAAGCATCATGCGCACTTTGCGACTGTTCTTCTTGCAAGGCTGGGCTTGGTACAGGGGACATTTGCTCAGCAACGCTGATCGACTGACTGCTTTCTTTTCTGCACAGGACATTGCACACGTTCGTCACCAAATTAATGCTCGACGGCATTGGTGGTTTGAAAGGGATTCACATTTCCACTTGCGCCGTCAAGACGGGGCAGTTCATCTGGACAGACCCACGAGAACACAGACTGTTTCAGCACCTCGTCGCTCTTCAGACGTGCCTTTGCTCAAACTTCTGACTTTCAACTGCCAATCGCTGGGGAAGGGCAGTTCTCGGCTTCAGGAGTTGGCCACGGATATGAGTGCGGTCGGTGTGTCGGTTGCAGCTCTGCAGGGCACCCGGTGGAAGTCTGACGATCCTCGAGGTGAATGGACTGTTCATGGGATCACGGGCCAGCCGCTTTTTCGCTGTTTCTCTTGGGGACGGCCTGCGAGCAACAACATGCTTGGTGTTCAGCTTCTCATCAGTCATGCACTGTATTCGCGTGCTGTTGTCCACACCCGCTTTGATCCACCACGTGGGCTGAAAGGTCGGCTTGGAGGCATCCGACTTGTTAGCCGGACCCCGGGCCAGGAGCTTGACGATCTTTTCATAACGGCCTATGGCCCGCAGGAAGCTGCCCCCGACGCTGATCGGCAGACTTTTTTCCAGGCGGTTCTTGAGATCACACATGCTGTTCCTCGCCGCACACGTGTGTGGCTTCTGGGCGACTTCAATGGGCACGTTGGCACTGACACGCGAAGCCCGGCTGTGGGCAGGTTTGGCGAGCAGGTCACCAACAACAACGGCTTCTCGTTAGTCCATGCCTGCGAGTCCGCTGGCCTTCTGCTTTCTAACACCGTGACTGGTTGGGCGCCAACCTCGTGGACTCCGGATGGACGGCATGCGCACTGCATTGACTTCATCGCCATGCCGCAGGCGTACAAGACACGCATCCGGCAGTGCCGCGTGAATCAAGTGCTTGGCAGGCGCTGGCAGCTGTCGCTTGTGCGCGATCACTGGCCAGTTGAAGCTACCGTACAACTGCTGAGACCATGGCAGCTTCACAGCTCCAATCACCAACCGCGCACTCGCTGGAATCAGCACGCGCTACAGGTTGCCGTGGACGACCCTGAGGTTGCGAATAATTTCTTGCATGACGCTCAGGCTGCCTGGGGGCCCATTGCTGCACAGCACTCCGATTTCAGCACCCCTGGCGGAGTTGAAGCGTACTGGCAGAGTGTCATGGCAGTCATTCACAAGGTTGCTGTGCAGCATTTTGCTATGCGGCCTGTGCAGCGCTCGTCTAAGATACTGCCTGCCACGTTTGACCTTCTACAGCACAGACGCACAGTCCAGGACACCCTCCTACAGCACATGCATGGGTGGATCAACGTGCGTCGCCGAGATGTTCTACGTTGGTTCTTCGTTGCCATTCGGCTTTTTGCCAGTCACTCGCGTTGTGACAGGGCCTGCAAGGCTGCAGTGAAGCACGACAACAAGCAGTGGGAGACTCGTCTCGAAGCGAGGTTGCAACAGGCCGTTGACTTTCATGACACTCGGGAGGCATGGGCCACAAGCCGACAGCTCGCCGGTCATGGTCGCAGCAGGATCATTGACCGTGCAGTGCCAGCTGCGAAATTGATTACCGAACAGCAGTGGGAGAAGCACATGAAAGACATTTGGGGCGCGACGCGGCACAATTGCGCTGTCGTCCAGACAACTGCAGACACCTCTACTCAGCTTCAGGTGCCCCTACTGCGTGGTGAGCTGGGCCGACAACAGCTGCTGACAGCTGCTCGGGCGCAACCTCGGTGCCGTGCCACGCCTGAGGGCTCCTTGCCGGCAGAGCTTTGGTGCCTGATCATGCAGACAGGACAAGTAGCAGCTGAACAGCCCACCTGGACTGCGGCTGAAGCCGTCAGGTTCTTTGAAGCGGTGCAAACTCTCGGCTACAACCCTCAAGCTTGGTGCGATGGTTTTGGGTGCGCCATCCCCAAAAATGGCGGCAGCCCTGGCCCCAGCGGCCAGCGCATCATCAATTTGCTGGATCCTGGTGGTAAGATGTTCTACAAGGCTCTCTGGAATGCCACCCCAGACCACCCTGCTGCGCATCAGTATGGGTATGCCGCTGGTCGCTCTCGACGAGATGCCATCTTGCATGTTGAGGCCTGGCTTGATCGTCTTCGTTTCAACAAATTGCACACGGCTGCCATCTTGTTTGACCTCACGAAGGCTTTTGACACCCTGAACCTGCCCAGCATTGAGCAAGCTGTGCGGGACACGCACCTTCAGCCTGCAGCTGAGCAACTCTTGCTTGACTTACACCGCAGGCTGCGAATACGGCTGCCGCTGCAACGCGGGGGTTTCTTGCAGGTCAAGTTGCAGTCTGGCGTGCTTCAAGGAGGGGGCACCGGGCCACGCATTTTCCGCATTGCGTACGATTCTTGCGTCCTTGAGTGGGAACAGGCCCTCACTGCTGACGAGAGCGAGTTCCTGGTTGACTATGCGGGCCAGCAGCTTTTTCTGGGCGTCGCAGCTTATGCTGATGATCTCATCCGCATTGTAATTGGGCGCGACCTCCACAAGCTTGCCACCACTGCACAACAGAACCTGGTCTCGCTTGAGGGCGTCCTGCGGCCTCGGAATCTCCAGCTGAACGAGAGAAAAGGCGAAACACTTTTGTCCTTCAGTGGCAAGGGCGCCTATCAGGCAGCGCGCGATGCTCATGCTGGGCACTGGCCCTGCTACCCGCCCAAGCTGGTGGTGAAGTACCTTGGTGCGCAGCTCCATGCGACTGGTTCCCTCAGAGCTGAAATACGCAAGCGTGTGGCATCTGCAAAAGCTGGTTTTGCCCGATTTGCTCGTTTCTTTAAGCGCAGTCATGTGCCTCTGCCTCGGAAGGTTCTTGTCTTCAAAGCTGTGGTGAATGAGGCTCTGCTTTCAGCGCTGGAAGTGCGCCCGCTTAGCAGGGTTGATGAGCTGGCGCTTGAGAGTGCTCGCGGGCTGCTTCTTCGACGACTTTTTGGGCGACAGGGCTACGGTGCAGTCGCTGGTGACCCTCAACACCGCTCCGTCACCGTTGAAAGTTTGCGCCGCCGGGCTAACTTGGCCACCGTTGCTTCAGAACTACGTGTTCGCAGACTCTTGTGGTTGCGCAAAGCTCTTCTGTGCGAGCAAGAAGGACAAACCCGCCTTGAACTGGCGGCTCTTTTCGGCGTGAGCAACAAGCTCCACGACACACTCACACCTGGCACAGGAGCACCTTCGCAACATGCTCCTCGTTTCCTGCATCTGCTGTTCCGTGATCTGCAGTCAGTACTTGTTGGTTTTTCTGGTTTTTCCGGTAACTGGCGAACTAGTTTTCTGCAAGTCCCAGCAGCTGCCTTACGTCGACTCTGCACAGTGAGCTCCCCCCAAGCTGCCAGCGCTGCTGCTGATGTGGCCGTGCTGCAAGCCGATGCCAATGCTTCTGGAGACGATGAGCCTGCTGCAGTGCCTGCGGTTGCTGCGCCACCAGTTCCTGTACCTGCAGACGCTGGAGCACCAGTTCCGGTTTTCAGCTGCGCGCTTTGCGATTCTGGGCCTTGGCGCACTGCCCGTGCTCTACAAGGACACATGGTAAGTAAACATCGCTTCCGGCACGCTTTGCAGGACACGAAGTGTCCGACTTGCAACCGGCAGTTCACAACCAAAAGTGGCGCTCGACGACATGTCTCGAGGCAATCCTGCGACAAACCCGTCAACAATCATGGACATGCTGGTGCTCTTGCCGGCCAACGGCTCGCTGCCCAGGCTCGAGCTCCAGCGCAGCGCCCCCCTGCTGCCCCGGTTGTCAACCAGCGCTCCATTGCTGAGTTCTTCGCAGCACGCCATGCCGAACATGGACTTTCTGCAGCTGCCAGCGGTGACGAGCCCATCAACACGGCCTCCCAAGCGCACACGTTCGGACGGGCCTCGAGCAGCAGGCACGAATCCTCTCGAGCAGCAAGTGAAGGAGCTCAGCCTGAAGCTGGACAAGGTGTGTCAACTCGTTGTCAGCCACGACCACAGCATTCGGGAGATGGAGGCTTGGAGCACTCGCACCTGGATTTTCGAGCAGGGGAGCGAGCTCGCCACTTTGCTCATGAGCCACATGAACCAGTGGAAGCAGCATCTTCCTCCACAAGGCCAGCCACACCCGCAAGGCCCTGCCCGTCTCACAGTCGGCGCGGGTCTGGCCAAGTGGTTGTTGGAGGATCCGGGTCGTCGACAAGCCATGCCCAAGTTCACAGCCATGCACGACGCCATGACTGATCTTACTGACATGCACAACAGCATTCAGCTTGCATATGTCAAGGTGATTAAAGATGGCAGAACACTCCTCAAGCTGCGCCCGCAGCAATCCGCCAGCGATGAGTGGGCAGAGGCTTTCACTTGGATGCAGCAATCTTTGGTCTCGCTCAAGGCGGAATCCAAAGATGCGGCGCCGCCTGGCCCAATTGTTCGCAGCTTGACGCGCCGAGCCAAGCCTGATGAAACCGCAGAGTGACTGAACACTGTGCAGATGTTCCTGTGCATTTTGGCATCTGCAGAAGCAGTGCCCATTTAAGGGACTCTCCCCTTAGGGCCAATCCCCCTTCCAAACTAAGGGGTCGCAGGATTGGCCGTTTTTGCTTGCTTACTTGATTCCCGTGTGATTGAGTTCGCGCCAGCCCAGCTGACGTGCGCAGTCTCTGACTGTGGTGTACACTGCAGCGATGTTCCCCTCTTGTCCTACGACTGACGATCGAACCTCGCTAAGTGGATGCAATGCAATGCAAAAAATGCCGTTGCCGACTGCGCCAGCAACAGGTCCAAACCCCGTGCAACCTTCCAACACCGAAGCCATCTATCTATCTCGCACAACCTCAATGCGACACGCGCACCATCTGCCACGAATTTTGGGGAACGATGTCCTGCCGAAGATCTTCCCGAGGGAAGCTGCCGGAAGACTTGCGATAACATAGGCTGCGAGCAGTTGCTCAGCCAGCATCTGCATGGTCATGGCCCTTGGACGGCGGGCTTACCATCGCGATGGCCTGACCTCCAGCAATCAGATGCTGGATGCCCTCCCTCCACTGCCGGCTCCTGCTCCATCGCGGAACTCATGGGCTTCTCCCCAGGCCAAGTAGTCTCAGAGCACGCCCATGTCTCCGAAGCCGCAAAGCTGACTAGAACGGGCGCCCGCAGCTGCAAAGTCCGTCTCGTCGGGAATATGTACGTTATAGGGCCTCCCATCTTCATCCTTGTGTGAGGTCTCGGGATCCCAGGTCTCAATGGGCCGATCACCGAAGTGGAATCCTAGCCCCACACATCAAGGGTTTAACACGCGTAACGGCTTACTGATTTTGGCTCTTCGCCTCTGCAAAGAGATCTGGGACTGAGGAAAGAGCTGCATTCCTTCTGTAATAATCATAACAATACTGATTTTCTCGCAGTTCTGAAGAAGCTGTCGCTTGAAAGGGTCTTTAGATGCGTCCACCACGGGCCGGACACCAGACAAGTCTGAGCTTGCAACCTGAGCCTGCCAGGGACGTCAGCGCCCTGGACACAGACTGAGGGCGTGCGCTTTCGCAAAGTATGTTCTGGGAATCCAAGCTTATTCTGTGTTGTCCTGAAGCTACAAGTCGTCCTGTACATCGCATACGTGCCGCCAGTGGCCTCCAGCACAAACAGAACGATCTCCTGCGCTCAGAGCAACCCTGGACCGATGCCCATGTCAACCCCAGAAGAAAACCTCCCCTTCAACATGGGCAGGCAAGTCGATGCTTGTCGGAAACGGAGCTCTCGAGCTGCCACAAAGAGGGAACTTACAGTTGCCCCAACACGGTCCCAGTAGAGTCGGTAGAGAACCCATACACACCACCTATGCCGATCCCTTTCTAAGAAGGGACCAACCCCAACCCGTCCTCGGGAGGTGGCCCATCGCCGAAGTCCGCTCCCAAGAAAAGCACCTTACTGGAGTGGGAGGAGCTCAGCTGAGGATGTTTAGGGCTTCGGGAGCTGCGGAAAGGAGAAAAAGGTGAACACCGTCAAGCCTTCAAGTGCTGCTGGTCCTCTTTTCGCGACATTATATAGTCACTAGAGGGGCACTGTCCTTGCTCCTGGGCTGGATCTGACTCGGAAGGCACTGCTGTCCTTACCAGTCAGCCACTCTGCCAACCCCCTGCAGCGGGCCTTGTGCTCCAAGCAGCAGGGCAGGCGGACGACATCTAGGCCAGGAGTCGGACGGACGCAAATGCAAACCGCATGGGTCATTCGCTACATTGCGAATTTCACATGCAGTTGGACAACATCCTGCCGGCTGCAATGCACTATGCGCAGGTCCTCTGCAGCAGAGGGCATGCTTCATTCCAACCGACAGCCTATGCAGTATACAGCCATACATGCAGGCGCGCCGAAAACAAAAACAAAAAACTGCCCTTCAGAACAAACTATTGTCAGCCTAGCTCGGAGATATTTAGTTATGGCTCGGAATGCTGTAGGGCTGTACATGTCCCGTGGCGGCCGCAGCAGCACAGAGCACAGCAGCCCTGCGGACCATGTGCAGGACAAGCCCCTCTTTGGAGCCTGCTCCTATTTCCTAGGGTGCCACTGCGGCATCAAAGCCAAGGGAGTTAATTACCAAAACTACGATAGTACGATAGTGACGGCTGGGTTTGGCACCCTCGCCAGGTTCACAGCTTAGCTCATGGCTGAAAAATATAGGCTTCACCCGGCACAATGGATGAGTTGAAGCGCCCGATGTTCGGGAAGACTGCATCCAACGTCTCCTGGGAGCTAGTGTCAAGGCCCATCCACTCGGCAATGGGCTTCAGCATCGTCTCCCATGGATAGGCTGGAATCAGGCGACCACGGCCGAGGTCGTTGTAGGCCCCTTCCTTTAAGCTGGAAGGGAACTGGTTCAGCATCTGCCCACCCTTGACTTTCCCGCCGAGAATAAAATGCTGGCCGGCCCAAGCATGGTCGCTGCCACCCCCGTTGGAGTCCAGCGTGCGTGCAAATTCCGAGGAGCTGGCAAGCACCACGTTGTCCCACATGTTTTGCGCCTTCATCTCTGCAACGAAGCCGTGCAAAGCCCGGTTGATCTCGCCGAACCTGCGCAGGCACGGAGCAAGGCAAGCTGTGCTACTACCACGGCACCCTGCCATGTCCGAGAGCCTCGAGGTCAGGCCATTCAGCAGGTTCGAGTGCATGTCCCAGCCGCCGACCCTCGTCACAGCGGTGTGTCGCTCAGATGCATATCAGATTGCTCAAGACAACGACACAACGATGACTCGACTGCCGTCGCGGGGCCGGACGAAGAAGAAGTCCCGCTCTGCCTTCCGCACCTCCTGGACGCGAATGAGCTTGGCCACCTGCGAGAGCTGGTTCTCCAGGCTGGAGGACGTGGAGTAGTCCGTGGCCAGCTCCACATCCTCAGAGGGACGCGGGGTGGTCACGGATGAGTCACTGCTAGTACGGCCTCATCAAGTACACTAAGGCATGAAGGGTCCTCGATGGCCCGACCAAGTTCCTCCGTGCCCTTGATCGAATCCAGGAAGACCTGGGCGTACTGCTCGTTGAAGACATTCGCGTGCTGCTGCTGGGTGAGGTTGGAGATGGCTTCACGCCACAGCTCGAACTCGTGGAACCGAGCATTGCCTTGCTCATCGACGATCTGCCTGCGCTTGCAACGTCACAGCATTCGTCGCAGGATTTGTGTGTCACAGCACTATGGCACAGCGTGTTGCTTTCATCTGCAGCCTGTTGGTCACCATGCCTTGCGCAAAGATCGCACTGCCAGCCAGGGAGAAGGAGGTCGCAACATACGGATCCGCTGCAGCTACCAACGCATCGGTGATGCGGCCGCCGGCACCTGGACACCGATCCCACCGCGAGTGCCCTCACAAGAATGCAAAGACCGGCCCGCCTCTGGGACTGTTGCCCGCCACCTGGCATGCCAAGGTCTGCGCCGCAGTCTGCCTTATGGCGCAGGTCAGGCCAGCATGGAACAAGACACACCGCTGTGCCGCACAGTCCGAATTCAGAGCAGCAGCTGATCCGAGTGCGAGAAGAGACCCACGCACTTTTCCTTCAGGTTGTTGCGGTACTGATCCTTGTTGAGTGGCTCCACAAGCGAGCCCATGTTGGTCATGAAGGCCAAGTCACCCTCGTCCTAAGTCGCACAGACATCGCTGGCTTCAGCGGCGGAAATCTCTTTGAGGCTGCGACATAGAGCTGCTTCAAGTAGTCGAAGGAACCATGGATACCGAATTTCTGGCACGGCTGGTTCGACACGTTGATGGCAATCAGATCTTCCGGATCGAGGTGCAGGTCTGTCCGAACATCCACATACTCCTCCATGCAACACAAAAACACTGGCACCGACATTCTGCTGGCCTTCCAGGCTTCGGAACCCTTAACACGTGTTGCCTGGTAGAGATCGCAGTCTTGCGGCACCAACCTCGAGACGATGCAGAAGGCAGGGTGCCAATCGGATCTCCCGACTGATTGCAAAAGGGGCCACATGTTCCAAGTGTCGGCGCCCCCTGCAAGGAAGAGGAATATGGTGGCCTGAGAAGGATGGCGAAGCTTGTGAGAGTTTCCACCCTATCCAGGCGCATGCCGCGCATGAGCAAGTAATGTCCTACAGCCGATTGCTGCTTCAAGTCGTATATAATGCTTCCTGCACATCGGACGAGGCAGTTAAAAGCTCAGATCCGCTCTGCACCCTAAACCCTAAACCTCAAACTCCCCAAACCCTTTTTTGAACAGGGACTGCAATGCACGAAGCCCCAAAACCTAAGCCCCTAAAACAAGAGTGCCAAGCACACCGGCCTTGTAGGGCTTTTGCGATCCTTCTGAGGCACCCAGGCTTGCCACACGCGACCCTGCTTGTGGCAGCGGCGCCCCGAACGTGTTGAACTCAGGGGTCATCACGACCGCCTCGCCGTACATGGTAGACTGCACGGGTCGAGGTTTATAGGGGTTGAAGGGACGAAGTGCCGTACCACAAATGCCTCTCATGCGCCAAACCCTCTGCGAGTCATTTACGGGTGTGGATCGAGGGCCTGGGGCCCGAGAAAGAAGAAGATTCCCCGCGCCGGACAGCCCAAAAAAGTCAGTGTCAATGATCCGTCGCAAGTGCACATCGTTTCGTCACGGATCTCGGTTTCGGATCGATCCCTAAAAAAAAAAGTGTGGGGGGTGTCCCAAAAGTGCGGCTTGCAAACACCTTCGGACAGATCTGGGTTAGCACAGGGTGTCAAAAACCTGCAGAAAGATCCATGTATACGTCTCCTGATCGTGGACTAGGTGTGGGAGATTTGGAGTCAGCAGGGCATGGTTTAGACTCACGGAATTTGTGTTGAGGGTTCAGGTTCGGGCTTCGAAATCAGAATCAGAGGCCTGCGTTCCCGGCCCTCTTGGACACAAAGATTGGGAACTGCTTGGAAGTTCATGGGTAGTTATAAGTGGGGTCATAAGTCCCCTAAAATGGGTTATAAGTATAGTTACACTGCTTATAACCCTACTTATAACTACCCATGAACCTACAAGTAGGAGGCCCCTCGTCGCATTTCTCAGGTCTGGGCATGGCGGCCGACTCTCTAACCGAAGCATCTGACAAGGGTCTGAAGCAGTCTTGGGCTGGGCTCTGAAACGATCGCCCCGACATCCCCTGGCCGTACGCTAGGCTGTGCACCAGGCTGCGAACGTACTTGCAGAGAGAACCGCATGAGAGCCGTGTCTGTTTAGGATCTCACCACCCTCCCCCGCCTGTTGGGCACGCTTCAGCTTTTGGGCATCCGGCGCGCGCCGATACGCACTGCCTTACAGGAAGGTTGAGACATGTCGAGTGCAAAGACAAAATACTGATGCCTACTTGGAGGTTCATGGGTAGTTATAAGTGGGTTTATAAGTCCCCTAATCGAGGTTATAATTATAGTTACCCTACTTATAACCCTGCTTATAACTACCCATGAACCTCCAAGTATGACCCCTTATAAACCCCTTCTAGGACCCCCATTATAGATCCCTTGAAGGAGCCTTATAACTACCCATGAACCAAGTAATTAACCTGCGTGACCAGTGACGAACCACGTCTTTTGCAACGTCGGTGAGGCGGCCGCCTGCGGCAGGCGTTCTCTCCCAACATGCAAAGAAGCTTCCCCTTAATTGTTAGAATAAGGTTTTGGGCTCCTTAATGGTATAATTACAATAAGGAGCCCCCCAAAATAGTATACATAGGTAATTAGGCCGTTAGTAGAGCCTGTGAGCAGGACGTCCAGCTCCTCGATGGTGGCGTTCTCGTCCCCCAGATCGGACACGAGTCGTCCCATGGGACAAATCTCCTCCCAGGACAGGGCATCGTAGGCATTGGGCCGGATGCCGAAGCCTTTGCCGCTGTCGCACCGGTCGCTGACCCCGCTCCTGCGTTTCGGGGGCAGGAGGGTCGGAGGGGAGCTCCGCTGATGCGAAATGCGGGGTAGGGCCAAAAACTGCCAAGTAGCTTGATGAGGGAGGACATGCCGTTGAGGAAGCCGATGAAGTGCGGCGGCGTGAAGATCTGAAATTCGGGGGCCACGAGCTGCTGCTCGGGCTCGGGCTCGGGCTCCGGCATGGAGTCGGGCATGCTCGTCGTCACCGGCATGGGCAAGTTGAAGTCCTTGCTTCGGCAGGGGACTCAACCACCCGGGAATACGGACGCTTACCTGCCCAAGTTGTTTGGGCTTGAGGCTAACGGCTTCTGGAGACTACGAGTAGGAAGCGACGACAGTCGGGGAAAGCGGGGATCGAGCTGAGGCTCGGCCAAGTAGAAGTTGAAAACGGTCGGCGACTGGAACGGAAACTGGCCCAACACGTCTTGGAGCTCGCGGAAGACCACGTCTTCATGGGCCACGTCCTGATACTCCATGGACCTCATGAAGTGGATTACCTTCAGCATGGGTTCTCGCAGGCTGCCATGGAATTGCTGGTTCAAGGCGCCATCCATGTCGCCGTCTTTGTGTAGCAGGACGGCCGCGACGGTGGCTGCCAAGTCGCCGTACTTTCCCGAGAAAAGCATGCCTCCATATTCCCCTTTCCGGAATGCAAGCTGCACAGCCTCTACATACGCTGCTGAGGGGTTCGATGTGCCAAATCTCTGGATCAGCCTCTTGCTGATGAACACGGCAGTGTTCTGGTGCATGAACAGCTGATCTAAGAGGCTCTCAACTTCTGCCAGCGCGGCTGCATCCGCTTGCCTTGGCTTTTGGTCCTTCAGAAATGCGGGTGGGTTTCGGAGGGTAGAACCGGCGACATGCAACGTACTCATGGTGTTCTTGTAGAACTTACCGTCCACCTTGAAGATCGTATTGGCCGTGATGGCTGGACCGTCTCCATGAAGGTGGAACACCTCCACATCGCCCCCGCATACTGAGCACGTCGTGTTCGGCACGTATGCCCCCACGAAGAGTTGCTGGACTGCATCCGCTTTGCAAGGTGTCTCACTGAAGACCGCCCCATCCTCGATCTTCAGGAACTGCATCCCGCTGGAGGGCACTCCCCCTGTCCATTGGACTGCAAAGTTGTTGGCCTCCACACCGTCTGCGCTGGCCTTGCCATCCTCGTGGACAAACAGATGTGCGAAGCAAATGGGCCGGTAGTCGCCATACTTGGTTCTGCCCACGGGATCCGTGTTGAAGTACATGCGGCCCCCTCTGTACGAGCAGCCCTTGGGATACCAGGTTCTTGGGCTGGTGTAGGGATTGCCATCGTGTGAGCCGTAGACGGCCAGAATAGCTTGCTCGCAGGTCGCCTGGTCCTCAATATGCGAGCCGTCTGGGCAAAACTCCGCCTCCTCTAAGGCAAAGAGGCCGACCGAGGTGTTGAATGGGACTGTCTTGAAATACGCGTATACGCATGGCGGAGGGATGAAGATGTAGTGCCTGCCGTCGACCCTGACGATGCTGACGTCGCCAGCCGCACACTCCGCACCAACGCACTGCAGGGTCTCGTTCAGCACCAAGGTAGCAGGGAAGGAGCACTCATTGCCAACTTTGGAGCAGAAGGTATCATAGAGTCCGGAACCCTGGGAGACTTCCAGAACCTCCCCCAAGTGGTCCACGGGATAGAACTCAAAGCGGGCACCCTTGGCAAGGAACTTATGCACCCCTGGCTCGGTACAGGAAGGGAGCGCATCGCCCAGGAAGCCGCCGTACAAGTCGGTTTTCGGATGGACATCATGCCTCTGGGAGTCCATGATCATCGGATCGATCAGGTTGTCGTCGGCTTCGTTCTCGATGTTGGGTCGGAAGGGTCGCTCCCGGAAGCCGGTGAAGACCTTCGCAAAGTTGACGATCTGCTCCATGCCGTAAGTTGGGATGCTGTTGTTCTGGGCATCCCTCTTGAGCGTCCCGTTCGGGTGCAGCAAGTCCAGACCCACCTCGGAAGGGCACCCGATGCACCCTACATGGACTCTGTTGATTTGGGGCTCAAAGAGGTCCAATCGGGCTGACCCTCTCGCTACAGTAAAGCCCCATGCAGCCGAGCCACAGAGAAGAGCTGCATAATCTCACGGGCGTAGTTCTCGTTTGGGAAGCGGCCGTTGTAGTCGAAGGAGGAGCTGCCTGTGTTGGTGAGATAGCGGCCCATGAGTGGATTGTAGGTGACCTCTCGGAGCACATCGCGGAAGTTGCCAAAGGCGTTGCGGACGAAGATGTCCTTGCTCGCTCTGCACAGTGCAAGTCATGCAGGCATGGAGATGCAACTCTTTCAAGCAGCAGCTTAGCCGAGGGTCGTAGTAGTTGAGCCATAGCTCAGTCCGGTCGTCCATCCCGAAGCCATTCGCGCTGACGACGAAGATCTGAGACAATGCCCAAGCCACGCGCTGGCGGAGCTGGTCCTGGTGAGGCTGAGGGGAGCACCCATCAGAGAACCCTCCCGGCAGCGGGGATTCTGGCACTTTTCCCGCACTGAGCAGGAGCTGAACAGGAGCTAAACAGGGCACTGAGCTCCTTGGCAGACAGGGCTTTGGCCGTCCACACGGTGGACTTGGACAGTTCATCCGCGAATCGGTCGAAGAAGTGGTTGTCCAGGTCTTGGTCTGCGCGATCCCTGGCATGGCTTGTGCTCAGCCCTTCGCCTCTACGGTTTAGGGTTTAGGGTTTAGGGTTTAGGGGCTTTAGCCCCTGGATGATGGGAGTTTTTCGGAAAAGGACTCCTGAGCCCTCTAGGCAGAGGTGCTTCGAGCCTGGTGGTGTAGAACCGAAACTGGTGCCCCTTGGCTGGGTCATTGGCCACCTGGGCACTTCACCAATCTTGGCACACGCTGCTGCACTGAAGCCATCCCTAAGTGATCCAAGTTCAATTCCCATTCCAGCTGCTGGCTGCTACTTGGAGGTTCATGGGTAGTTATAAGTAGGGTTATAAGTAGGGTAACTATAATTATAACTCATCTTAGGGGACTTATAACTCCACTTATAACTATAGTAGCTAACCCACCCCGAAGTTCCCTGAAGATCTTGAGGCAGCCACCTCACCCGGTGAGCCACAGGAAAGGCAGATCGATGTGCTGGGCGGAGGAGTCTGGAAGGCGCTGGTTGGCACGATCTCCTTGGTGCCGCTGCTGTCGGGGCCCTGCCACCGAAAGCGCATTCCGGCACCGCCGCTGCCCTGGTAGTACTCAATCTTCAGAGCATGGCCTCCAGCGAGACGAAAGGTGCAGGGAGGCAGGGATCGCATGAGCAAACAGGCCTATATGGTGTGTGGTCCTATGGTCATTGCTCGTGGAAACGTCAGCGACCCTCCGCCTCCCGCAGTGAGATTGACCTTGCCGCTCTTCTCAAGCATGCCGTGGAAGCCACCGTTGTTCACCAACTCGGAGCCATCGAGATCGAGCTTCGACCCGTCGTCTGACTCCAGGAAGAACTCGTACTCGCCAGCTTGCTGGATCGTCAGCGTGCCTGTCCAGCGGATGGCGTAGTAGTTCTTTGGCAGCTCCGGGGTCCAAGCACTGCCGGTGGAGGGATAGTTAACCTGAGGGTCCAAGAAGGCGAAGCTGGGCTGGCTCATTGTCTCGCTGACGAACCCTGCAGGGCTGGAGCTCAGCACGTGCACTTCCGCGCGCAGGCCAGGTACAGCAGGTCCCTCGGGGCCCGAGGCTTACGCAAGTCAGACAGAGCATAGCTTGCGGAAAGGAAAAGCTGAACGAGGTCCCAGCCTGAGATTGCAGAATCTCCGGTGCTTTGCAGTTTGCTTCGGTGAGAAAGGAAGGCGGCACGCAAAGCCCGGGCATCGGGCTTGCTGGCGTGTTGCCATGAAGCTGAACACGAGGATGGAAGGCATAGGTCCCGCCCGCGGCCTGGCATAGCACACGCCGTGGAAGAGCCATCCCCTCCCGGGCCTCCCCCGCCTGGATCAAGAGCTGCTCGCCCTGGGCGACCTGCTGGAGAGCCTGGTGCTTTAGCCCCGTGAGTCGCGGCTGGAAGGGTTTTAGGGTTTAGGGTTTAGGGTTTAGGGGTTTAGGGTTTAGGGTTTAGGGGAGGCCTGCCTCGTCCAGCGAGCAGGCTTCAGAGTGACTCTGCAGGAACAGCGTGTCGGGCAGGCCCTGCTGGAAAGGCATCGAAACGGCCGTGACTTTGGACTGGTCCGACCTCGGATCTGAAGCTGGTGGTAACAGCTCCACGAATCGAGCTTTCATTGTGACAAAGCTGGCCTGGCTGCAGCGAAGCGGCACGAACAGCGCAGGGTTTGGCATGTTCGTCAGTGGAACTGACCAGTGACATCTTTGGTCGCTGGACAGGTGCACATCGTTGCCGACACCCTCTTCCACATAGCAGATGTAGGCAGAGTAGTTCCCGAGTCCTTATTCACAAGCTCGCACATTCGCGATTTATGTAAAGCGGTATTCGACATGCACGCACGTTTTCTTCTATCCGGGATGCCGCTCCAGCGCGAGGCAAACAGTCCAGTCGGAATATCTGAGCGGAACGCGCCCTCCACAAAGATCTGGCCGCCAGCAACCTCGACCTGCTTCCTGTTGTCGCTCATCATGAAGACGAAACGCCTCCAGCGAGATCCAGGAGAGCAAGGTGTGTAAGGCTTGAAGTCTCGGTCGCTGTCCGCGTCGGACTTGTAAAAAGGGTTCACACGCTCGCGGTAGTACTCGCGAAGGGACTCGACCGGAAGGTTCATCTGCTCCAGGATCCAATCAGAATGGTCCTTGTGACCTGCTCGACAGCTCAAGTGTCTAGACTCTACTGGGGACTCTTCGATGTGGGGGTTTCCGAAAATAAGGGACCCTAGTGTAGTACCCTAAATAGTAGGATCCTCATTATAAGGACCTTAAAATAAGGTACCCCTTGTTTTTGGAAACTCCCATGTAGAAACGTGTAAAAGGAACGCGCTGCACTCTTGTCCCAAGTGCTCAACTCAGACAATAGCTCGCGTGTAGGGCCGAAGCTGGCCTCAGCGACGCTCGACATGTCGCTGGCTCCCCGTCTCCCCTTAACAATACATCCCCTAATTAGGGACCCTAACTACTAAAGGGTACTTTACAGGACCCCCTTAGGGAATCTATTTTTTAGATCCTTTTGGTTGTCAATTCTGTGAGATCCGACCCTCTCCAACAAACTAACTCCTTGCTGCGGAAGCATGCCGTGCCGAGAAAAGGCTGCCGGGTCGCTCTCATCAGGAAACGGGCGTCAGCAGCACGACTTCGGTTCGCTTTGGTGATCCCGAGGGCTTCGTAGATTTCCTGCGCCGGGACAATTTTCGTTGACACGATATCCTGGCATGATTGCACGGGTCTCGTATACGGCGTGTACGGTCCTCGGTTGCCATTTGGGAAATCCTTGAGAGCGTCTCTCGCTGCAGAAAGAGGGAGCCTTGCGAGTCAGCCTGCCCGCATCCCTCCTCGCGAGTGTTGCAACTCGGCTTTCCCGACGCCAGCGGAAGGAAGGCGGCAAGCCACAAGAGCATGCATGTTGCGCGCTCCATAATTCAAGCTTCAAGCAACTCTGATGGGTGGATCGTGCCAATCAAACAATCTCACGAGCCAATAGTATTGCAGCAGCGACTGGCATCAAGACGTACACTGGAAGCCTTGCGTCGCCTACGTGTGCCTACCCATCGTGCAGGGCACGGATGTGCAACAAAGCGAGCGGCCCCATAAGCCCCGGACGGCAAGGCTGAAGACTGCCGTCAGCGCCTGACTTAGCCCCAATGGGCGGGGAGGAGGTCTCCTTGCAGTGATTTCGGAGGCCCTGACTGAGACCTTCGTCTAGGTAGCAGACTCCCACATTGAAAAGCAATCTCATGCACCACCGAGCGGTCTTCCGCCGGGCAGTTCGGGGGCTTACACCCTAGGGTTATGTAAGGCCTAGAGGGCTTGTAGGGCTTATAGGGTTTCTGGGCTAGGGTTTATCAGGAAATCTAGGTCTCTCGAATCCTCGTATAGTAGTGTATAGTATATTGTATTACATTGTATAGCACAATAAGATATAGTGTGGCATATTATAGCATAGAGTATATCATAGCATAGTATAATTCGTGTCTTATGGTATATTGTTGTTATATTACTGTCATATTACAGTATTATTGCCCCTAAACCCTAAACCCTAAACCCTAAACCCTAAACCCTAAACCCTAAACCCTTGTGAGCGCTGGACTTCAGGGCCAGGGCTCAGCTTGGATCAGTTCGAATGATCCGGGCTTGTACCCGAAAAAGGGGGGCGTCCAAAAGCCACAGGTGCTTAGGGCCACTGCGAAGCACGAAAGAAACAGGGTTTTCGGGTTTTTTTGTTGGGCTGTTCTAGGGTGTTCATAGGGGTCTGCTTCGGGAGCATGTTTTCCAGGTAGCAAATCCCGCGATTTCACTCGTGTTGCTGGTCCATCTACGTCTACGTGCTCAGATGACGAGCTGGATGGGTTTGGCACCAGCGCGACTTTCTAGAAAGTCAGTCCTCCCCCTGAGCGGTCCTTCAAGAGCTTCGTCTTCGTGGGAAATGCGATAGGATTCCAAACCGGAGAAGACGCGCAGGAGTTACGCGGCGCAGACTTCCTCTGAAAATCTGCATGAAGCGGCCTCTTCAGGTCCAGATCTGTCAGGCTGGCATGTCCGAAGAAATCTTTTCGGCAACTGCGCATACAAACTCGCACGCGGCATCCAGAGTGCTCAGCTGCGGCTGGGTTCCAATCGTGTGATCCATGGCAGGTGTGTCGATGATGAATGTCTTCAAACATGCCTCCTGGCCTTTTTCAAGGCCCTTCTTCAGCGATCCTCCTCTCCAATGATGTGCGATGTCTTCCAGGCCATGCCGCAGGCCATGGACGAAATCAGCAGCGGCATTGTTGCTGATCACCGCTGCACAGTTCTCCTCCAAAGCTTTGCACAACTTGGCTGTAATCAGGCTGGGGTCTCCTTCCGGCGAACAGGCTGCAACAAGCGTCGCAACTTTTCCCAGATAGTTGTCCAGCCCAATTCCTGGCATCACCAGGTTTACTTGCTGGTCGATTCCCACGACGGTGTCTCTCGCCACGATAACGTTGCCCAAATTGCCTTCGTTCTGCCAGACTGGTAGGGGAATCCGGTCGAGGTTGTTGATTAAGACATCCATGGCGCACAAGCGTCCAAGCTGATGCATCAGCTTAAGCTCAGGAGCCTGAAGAGCATCGTGCCCCTCATGGCCCATTAGCACATGCCCTGCTGCAAACTCCAGGACTCCGAAGAAATTCCCACCGATGTCCCGCACACCATCTGCATGATCCCAAACACCCAGAAGCTCCGCTTGCTTCCAATCGCCATTGATGAACCTCGACAGGCTAGCCTGTATCTCCCTGAACTCCTCCTGCGCACGAGTCACCACGCGCACATGAGCTATCGGCACTTCAAGAACGTCAGCGATGTGTTGCGCCATCATTTCCAAAGCTGCTGCCTTGCCCTGAGGTTTCAGGACGACGCAGGAGGCACCCAAATCAACAAGCATCACTCCGCCACTACCGCCGTCGATCACGTGGGAGCCTATGGCCTTTGGCCATGCGATGCTCAGAATGTTGGCCGGGTCTAGGGATCGAAAATGATCCATCCGCTCCTTCTGTCTCGCAGCAGCCGCCTTCTCCTTTGCCCGCATCGCCGCTTCCGTCTCTCGCTTCAGCCGCTCTTGCTTGTCTCTCTCTTCAGAGCTGGCTCTGCTCGTTTTGCGTTTGGAGCTGTCGGCTACAGCCAGAAAGCGGAGGCGGAGCTCTGCGGAAGCGATCTCCTCCATGGAGGAGCGATCCGCGGCTCTGGGATGTCTCTCCAGCCACTGCTCAGCACGCTCTTCCCAGTCTGCTCGGAGCCCGCACCGTGCCGCGAACTCCTCCAGGCCGGCCAGACGTTCTTGCTTTTCTTCTTCCGTGAGCTCTACAGTTGCGACCCTGACTTCGTCGGCTCTGCTGCGGCCATCGCCAAGCTTGATGTCGACGACCTGTTTGGGCTTCGCGGCATACTCCGTAAACATCTGCACATGCCGGCGGCCAATTTCCAGCATCATGAGGGTTGCCAGAAAGGGGCTTTCAGCAATCAGTGTGTCGCTCTGAGGCGACGATGGAGGATATGCCAAATTCAAGCCCAAGCCATTCATTAAGGCCTCCGCTTCCCAGTGGCCATCCTCGTGCTGCATCTTGGCGTTGTGGAACCAAGCCATGCCTGCATCTGCCTTGCTGGGCGGACCAAGGCCCGATGCAGCTTTGCTTTCCTTGCCCTTGCCCTTCGAAGCCTTCGGGGCAGGAGGTCCCTTGCCCTTGCCTTTCTCGCTCGTGGCCATGGGCGACTCTGCGAGACGTGGGACGATGCTGCGTGGGTGCTGGGATGTACCTCTAACAGGATGTCTGAGACCCTATATCTCTAAGCACGGCGGCATGTATCGCGCTGTGCCTGGCTGTGGAAGCTTGAGAGAAGAAGCTATTCGTGAAGGCGACATGGGGGGGAGCCCTGGTGTTACAATCTCAAGTTCCGGCCTCCCACATGAAAAAAGCCGGAAGACTCGAACCTTATAAACCCCGTATACTCGATAAACAAACACAAAAATCCCAAACCTGGCGTTAAGCCCTGCACCGTAAACCCTAAAGTCACTCAAGGGGCAGGGAAGCATGAGTATCTCAGTAATACACCCTAAACCATATACACCCTACACCTGAGGCCGTACATCCCGAACCTTGAGCCTTATGTGTATACATACATACATACATACATACATACATACATACATACATACATGTATAAATATATATATATATATACACATATATTTTTCTACACCCGAAACCCACTTAAACGGGGGCGGATCCAGGATCCGCCTGCACCGGGCCCCGGGCATCATTGAAGCCCCGGCGCTGGCCTGGATCCAAGGCCTGTCTGCCCAAGTCCCCTTCGGAACATACTCAATTCCAGGAAGACGCTAGATTGGGGCGGATGCCATGACGCAACAGTAGATGCCCAAGACACTGGTAAGCAAAGCAGACCTTTAGACCTCCAGGGGTGCTCATTTTCTTCTATAAGTATCGCCCTCAACTACGGCTTTGCGAGGACTGGATGCAAGAGGTGTAAAGGTCTTCGCTTCGGGGGAACGTGCAGAAAGCTTACGCGTGTTTTACAGCCTCATGGGCCTTGTACTTAAGCCCCCCTTTCCACCTTCCTGATGTCGGTCGGGTCAAGAGAAAACTTACGAGTCATTTTGTCCTTTGCTTCTTTTGACAGAAAGCCACAACATGGCCGGTGGTGCACTCGCTGTCAAGTTCGTCTGAGACAAGTCCCACCGCAGAGTCCGTGATACTGAACCCTAAACCTAAACCCTAAACCCTGGGTAACCTCAGACAGTCTAGAAAAGGGGGCTATCGACCTTCGACACTTCCTCCCGCGACCCCCCAACCGAATTAGTACCTCTGGAACTCTGAGCAGAGTTCTCATCAGGCACCTCAAGGCTGTATGCAGTGTTTTTTGCAATGATGTCAATGATCGACTTCCCGTTCAAAACCATTCACTCAGCCAATCTGGCTTTCGTGGGATGGCCAAAGTTACTGATTTGAATGTTGACATAATCAGCGCAACTCTTCATCTCTGCCCGCCACCTCCCCCAACCCCTTCCCCATTCTGCACTGGATCTCTAAAGAAGTAGTTTAGTCGTTCCCAGCGAAGCCACCACCCCCACCGCCCCCAGTCCCCATGGCCAACAGCGCATTGATTTTCCATAACCCAGTGAGGCCACCCGCCACTTCCCCTGCCACCTCCCTCCACCCCTTCGCATGGCTAGGCCATGTGGCCGCCACGCCCCCCGCTTGTGGCAAACACTGCATGTACAGCAGTTTCACACACACACACACACACACACACCTCACACAGTGCGAAGTCGGGCACTGACCCTTCGCCAGCTGAGGCTGCTGCTGCGGATGTAGCAGCATTGAGATTCTGGCAAACATTTCTACGGAGTTTACTGGACTCCGGACTGGCACGAGGCGAGTGCACGCCTTTGGACCAAAGTCTGCGCTCGTTGCCAGCTGGGCTGTTGAGAGACCATAAGCATGAAATGGCAAGTGGTTGACTCCTGCGCAATGGCCTTGCCCGAAATCGAACATTGTCATGCGGGGGGTGCGTGTCCACATGTCTCCAGGCTCCGGTACATGTCCTACAGCCACTGCGTTATCTGATTGGCTTGGGGCCTCATCGGAGGGTCCTGGAAGGAGACAGCGAGATACCACGAGTTACCTGCAATGGACGCACTTGGGGGTTTCCGAAAATAGGGGACCCTACTATAGCACCCTAAACAGTAGGATCCGTATTATAAGGACCCCAAAATAAGGTACCCCTGATTTTCGGAAACTCCCACTTTCTTCGACCCCTGCAGGGGCGTCCTCAGGACAGCCCATGTCCGAACCGCTGCCTTGGTGTCATGCCTAATTAGACTGCAGTATCTACGTAGAACCTACGAACCAAAGCTCCTGAAACGGTTTACTTGGTACACTTCTCGATCTCCTGAAACGGTTTACGGTTTAGGGTTTAGGGATGAAACGGGCGACTGGTGCGCGTTGTCGAAGCTTCTCTTGCTCCGCTCAGGGTCGACGCAGCTGGTCTTCAGGCGTCGACCATGATCAGGAGAGCGAGGTTGCCGTTGCCACATGTTGCCACTAGTCGTCACAACACGAAACTTATAAGTTAAAATACGCACACGCGGGCAACCCACCTTGCACTTCTGCCTGAGGCAAGTCCGTGCATAAAGTTGCTTCCTTCATGCATGCTGCATAAGCATTCACGAGAATGAGTTTTTTCGGTATGGTCCTTGCCTCCAGCTCTACATGCCAGGCTTTTTCTGTTTCGTTGAGGCCGAACCAAAGATTGGTCTGCAAGCAGCCCAAATGGCGAAGTATTCTTCCTTCTCACAGTTAAAATACCCCTTTGCCAGCACCGACGAGCGGGTCCGTCTCGAAGCGGCTGATGTGTGTAGTCAGATGACGTGCACATAGCAGCACTTGCCTCGGTCACACGAATTTCAGCCCTAGCCGCAGAACAAACAATGCCTGTTGTATCCAGCCAAAATAATTTCAGAGAGCCTGCGCCAGTCATCGTACTGAGCCTGAACAGCAGCATGTCAAGTTCACACTGCTGCTAGGAGAAACGAAAAGCCCAGCCGGCTACTGCTGAGCTGCTGCGGCAAATGCACGGGACACTACAACGCGTGCCCTTGCATGCCACCGCATGCTCTGTATTGCTCGCTGTAGCTTGCTGGGTTTATCAGCACCGGCCCCTCATGGGTTTCATGACGCTGTGCCTTCTCCTCCTTGATGCGCTCCTGCAGCCCAGCTACCATTGAGACCCAAGCGCCCAAAGCATCAGAGCATCTCTGCACTCGGTCCTCCTCCTCGGGAGACAGCGGCCCTTTCGAAGGCCCCTCTTTGCCATGCTCCCAAGTCGAGGCCTGGGTGGGATGCTGAGCTGAACATCGCAAGAAAACCTCGAAGGAACCCTCCAGGCAGTCCAAGCTCGCTGAGCGCCCTGCCATTTTTCGCTTGTTTCCTCCAGCCGTCGTAGACCTCTGCTCCTCGCCCCACGGTCTTCACTCAACCATTGCCTGCTTTCAGCCTTCCACGTCAACGTCCTCGCCGGCCGGCAGATTCATCCTGCCATCTCGTGCAGTTGACTATTGCCCGAGCCAAAGCTGCTGGCCTCCTAACCCCGACCAGGACTTGAAGAAGGGAAAGAGACACATGGGAGTTCCGAAAACAAGGAGTACCTGATTTTGGGGTCCCTGTCATAAGGATCCTACTATTTAGGGTGCTACACTAGGGTCCCCTACTTTCGGAAACCCCCACGTCAAGAGACCAGGCTTCGGCGGGCTGATCTGCTCATCCACCCGATGGGCATTCGAGAGACTTCAGCGTTGCAGACATGTCACATCCGCACTCTCAATGTCCCTCTGTAGATCTCTTTACTGCCATGCATAAAGTTAGGCCAGTCCTGAGGAGGTCGTAATCGCGGTCCTGACAGAGCGAGGTTAGGATGCCAAAATTGGTGCCTTCTGTCGGGATGCTCCTTGTGTGGCAAACATAGGAGCTTTCTTTGATGTACCTGCGCAGACACGAAGCGCGAGAGAGACAGAAGACATCAGAAGCGATGCGCAGCGAACATTGTCTTGATCCCGCTTCTCGTGCTCCAGCTTTTGCAGTCGACCCTCAGCCATCCAAGCTGCTCTCCAAAAACGGGCGTGTCCCAATGGCTGAGATGGGGACAACCCTCGGGGTCTTTGGCAGAAGCGTCGACCGTGGGCTTTCCAGGTGTCCGAAGTAGACTCCCGGAAGTGCCTCGCAGCTACAGCGATCGCGGGACCGGTCGACGGTAGTTTTTGGTTCAGGGGGTCAGACAACCCAAGGACAAAGGTGCAAAGAGGACCGGGCTCGGGCCTATTGAAATTGTGATACTTTCCGCACGGACGGTTCCGAATTTTGCGAAACTTGACTTATAAACTCACACCAGAAGCCTCCAGAGTGAAAAATGACCTTGTTTTCAGCTAGTGCCCAGGCACTTGTGCCAAGGAATGTATGAAGAAACTTGTTGGTGATACCTCGCAGTTGCAATACTGCCGGGGATGTTGGTGACATCAGCACCGTCCCCATCATCCTCATCATGGTCCCGAACACCGTCGTAGGCATCATCATCATCATCATCATCACCATCATCACCAACATCATCGCCGTCGTCATCGTCATCATCGTCCTCAGCCCGTGTCATCTGCACTGTCCTCATGATTCTCCTCATGGCCGTCTGAGCCGTGGCATTAATGCCTGACGCCGCTCCGAAACCTGCTCCCTCCTTGAGTATAGAAATACTTCAGCAATGTCACTTGCTTGAGACTGGGCCGACGATGTGGGACACAACTCTGCTTTCTTGCGTGCAGCTTGTTTGTACTGGACGCTGCAGGTCAAGTTGGCGACAGGAAGACCGGTGCAGCGATCCTCATCCAAATACCCTCATTGCACTGGCCTCTGCTGGAAGTGCGGCTTCCTCCACCTCGCGCACGGCGGCTTGCTGAGCGGCGACGGCGAACTCTGCCTCAGGGAACCCCTGAAAAAAACTACCACACCCTAAACCCTAAACCCTAAACCCTAAACCCTAAACCCTAAACCCTAAACCCTAAACCCTATCCAACTCCTCAAAAATCTGGGCCTGAGAGCCGAGAGCCCCCAAACCCTGTTGATCCCTTTTTCAGCACGGGCTTTGGGACCCTGATCCCTGAACCCTAGACCGAGGCGCCATGGCGATCATCTCCTCGTCCAAACCTCTTAGGGACCGTCTTGCAGGCAAACTATGCACCAGCAAGTTTAGTGTGGTTGACAGATTTCGACTCGCACACTCGCAAAGCAGGCACGGATCCAGGCATAATGGCATAATTCTCGGCTCGGTTGACAGGTTTTGTTGTTCGGCTCTTTTCCTCCCTGCTACAGTTGGAATACCACCATGACTATGGTTGAACCTTTGGGCTTGGCTGGGAGTATCTGTGGAACCCCAAGGACCGTCAGGCATAAGAACAACTCCAAAGGTTTACACTCTCACAACTCGGACAAGCCAGGCGAGGATCCATGTGTGCGCAGTCGGAGTGAAAACGGGACAACAAGATGCCTGAAAAGGTTTAAGGCGCAGGGCTTTGGCATTTGGGCTTTCTTCCTCCCGCCCAGCAAGTTAGGTGTTTGGGCTTTGAGGTTTGGGGTTTAGGGTTAGGGCGGTTAGGGTTCGGGTTGGCGGTTAGCCGATACAAGCTTCCGTCATCGAGCTGTGCACATCCCACCTCCTCTTCTGGCCATGTGCGGGTCAGAAGAGGTTTTAGTCTTCGCAAACGTGGCTGTCCACGGACTGGTCCTCTGAGGAAGTAGGTCACCTTCAAGGACAGAGGTTGGTTGACGTCGGGCAGGACGGGGAGCTAAGTGCTGCGGTTTCAAGACGTGTCGAATTCTGTTCCGGTTGGTTTACATGATGAGTTCCGCCCGACCTATTTCAGTCGCCAGCAGGGGGTCCACACTGTCCGAAGACACAGACGTGGCATCGGTAGACGACGATGCTGAGGAGGAGCTCTCGTGTGCTTGAGAGTCGAGCTGCCCCGGCATTGCAAAAAGGTTGTTGGAAGTCGCCTGCTTGAGGGCATTCCGCTTTTGCTGATACAGCGGCTTTTCGGCCTTTGTGGCTGTATCCTGCTCCATCTTAAGCTTCCAAAATGGCTTTCCCACCCCAAGAACGACAGCGTCCCGCTTCGCTGATGCGCGGCGACTGGGTGCACCCGGGCCAGCATCGTCTCCTGAGTCCTCATCCGCATCCTCCTCCTCCCTTGAAGTCGCGATGAGCTCTGCGGCTGTTCGCCTAGGTTCTCCAGTAAGCCCTTAATAATAAGGGTGCCCTTTTAACTACTATTTGGTTTTAATCAGGAGACCCCAAACCAAAAAGGGCAAAAGGGTACTACTGGGGAACCTAGTCGCCATCCCGGCTGGAGCAGCTGCTCGAATGTCTCGTATCCCCGCAAGTCCCTCTGTGGTGTCTGCGGGCACCTGAAGCTGCTCGATGTCGACATGCTGGAATCTGCAAGGCTTGTAGTGCCTTTCCAGCCTTTGCGTCGGTGACTGGATTTCCACCAAGCCCTCGGACGAAAGCTTCGGGAGCTCCCCCCGGAGCATGCACTTGTCGAGGGTCGGGTGCTGAAGGTGGAGTTTTCCGCACTAAACATCGCTTCGGCTGCGAAAGACACCGCGCTGCTGGTGTATGGCCTGCTGGGCCAGCAGATCACACCGGGCTCACTTCAAAAGATCACTGGCCTGGGGAGCAACTCGACTTCGCGGTCGGCTGGCAAGATCATGTCCAGCCTGCCCATGCTGCCAAAACTACTGTTAGGGTTAAGGTTCCTTAATATAGGTATACTATAGAGGAGTCCGTTCCTTAATAATAGGTATACTATAGAGGAGTCCTTTCCTTAATATAGGTATACTATAGAGGAGTCCGAAACCTTATTGTAACCCTACAGTAGCTCTCACCGTGTAAATCCGCTTTGCGTTTGCCGTCAGGCTGCTCCAAGTGTGCCACATTGGCGAGCGTTGCCTTAGTCAGCAGGGCTGGGAGTCTGGCTTTGAAGAGTAGCCGTCTACTTGGAGGTTCAGGGGTAGTTATAAGTGGGCTTAAAAGTCCCCTAATATGGGTTATAAGTATAGTTACCCTACTTATAACCCTAACTACCCATGAACCTCCAAGTAGGCCCCTCCGAAACCGCGAAACCTGTCCATGAAGAAATGCAGGCCCCCATGACCTTTCTCAAACCTGCAACTCCCTGTTTTTGCTACTGGACTCAAGTCCAGCCTGCAACTCCCTTTTTGTTGGAACCCGGGCTCTTTGCTATCAGCTGGGCAGCAGGCAGGCCCCTAAACCCTAACCCCTAAACCCCTAAACCCCTAAACCCTAAACCCCTAAACCTTAAACCCTAAACCTTAAACCCTAAACCCTAACCCGCAGGCCCTGATCCTTCAACTTTATATCCCAATACCCCCCAGGGCCCTAGACCCGAGACCCTAAAACCCTAAACCCGTTTTGCATCCACGCCTCTTGCAGTCTAAGCCCTAAACCCTTTTGCAACTGGCCTGCTGCGACTAAACCCTGTTCCCTAACCCCTAAGCTGATTTTTGGTTGGGTCCCGGGCTTCGAGACTCGCAGGCGCAACCGGTACTTGCAGCCATCTGCGCTTGAGCTTCGGTGCTCGCACGGCCTCAGCGTCGTCCAGCTTCCAATTATATAGCACTAAGAAGGATGGTAGTGATGATAACAAGCATCGTAATAGCTATCATAAGTTTCACAAGAACAAGAAGAAAAATAAGCCCCTCAGACTGGGAGCACTTAAGGCAACCTCTGCCGGCAGCGACGAAGCTGGGCAATTTGCTGGTGCCCCTCTGATTAGCCTTTGTCCTGCCTTTGCCGATGGCATTCTCGTTTAGCTGTTTCTGCTTTCCTTTAAATTGAAGATGACACAGAGAGCACATCCAATAGCAGAAGTCCTCACAACTCCAAGTGGCCAGCACTGTTAGCACTAATAAGCCTGACCGTCATGATCATCGTAGTATCTTCCTGTTCGTCAGCATCATCACCAACTGTTGTTGCTTTCTCTCCCAGGCCGTTGTCTAGCCTGGAAGCGCCATGAGTCGGTGTTGCTCTGGCACATGACCTGGTCTTGCAGAAAGGCAACTGAAGGCCCGGCTGGTGCCTGGAAAGGTCTTTCGAAGACCATGGCATTCAAAGCGCATGGCACTACACAACTCGCTTTTGCCTCCCACAGTGGCTACGTCTAGACTGCGACGATTGATGTGTCAGTGCCGTCAATGCCAGGCCAAAGCCATGTACGTCTTGATCACGAAGGCTCTGAACCAGGTGGCGGCCCAAACCGGCTACAGGCTACATGTAGCAGCATGGGTTGCGCCGGGTGTGCGCTCTCGACATGTTGAATGGAACTTTTTTGGCCGACTTTGCTGGGAGCTCCATAACTTCGCGCTGCCCATACCTCAGGCAATAAATGCGGATGGTCTTAGCGCACTCATTCACAGTACAGACAGTACGCACACGTTAAGGCAAGCGCCGTTCCATTGATCCATACTCTTGCCAAGCAGGGGCCAACCAGAGTCACATCTGCCAAGTCTCCTGATGAGTTTGCCCATGCTTGCTTTGCCGATTGCACAAGAAATTAGCATCCGAGGGGCTTCCCTGTGCGCTGCATTGCCGCCAGGCTTGTGTCAGGAGTGGGCGCAATGGTTCCAACCTGCACGCAACTTCTGTTCCCCCAGCCTTGATACGTCTCTCCTTAAAGCCCAAGCCCTCAGGCCGCAGCACGAACCGAGTCAGTCGAACATCCACAGCTGGCGGTGGCACCTTCACGAATCCACAGAAGAGACCTCCCAATCGTACCGCCATTCGTGCAGACCGAGCTCGTATCTTGTTTGTATTGCATTGCCGCCTTACTCATGCCCCTATACGGGTCAGCAAAATGCCCAGCATGTCGTGCAGCAGAGCCTGCTGCATGTGCAGCATCTCCCAACCTCGGGTCCAGAAAAAATGCGTTATCGCGGTGCCTCTGCCTTTGAGGTTATACTGCCGAAGCAGGCCCACATACATGCAAGGCACGCTGGCGGCTCTTGCGCCCACCGAGAACCCAAGCTTTGCAGAAGCGGGGTGGCCATCTCAGCACGACCTGCGTTGTGTACTCATTCTGTCCAAGCCTCCCACCCCAGGGCCCCCCAGCGATCTTGCCTGCTCGAACGCAGGCATCTGCTGCAGAGCAGCGACCTGTGCCGAACAAGCCTGAAAGAAAGCCTTGAAACAAAGCAGAGGAGCCTTTGGCATCTGCCATGTCGGATGCTGCCAAAGCCCTGGCTACACTTCAGCTGAAAGGCCGCCAAAAGTGACAGCGAAGGGCCTGCGCCACACGTTGGCCTTGGCACAGCACCTCAATGCTGCTGCAAGGCCTTCTGCCCCAAGGCCTTGCTCCAACCTGGGAACCAAGGGAGCCACATGCAGAGGCTGAGTGGAATGAAGATGCTGAAAATGTGGGAGAGTTGAAGTCCTTCAAATCCAAAGTGTGCAGCTGCAGCTTGGGGGTAGCAAGAAGAGGAGGAGGGAAGAGAAGAGCAAAGCAAAGACATGCGCACTTTTTTGCGGGTTCAGGAAAAGTCTTCGCAGTCCAGCAGAAGTGAAACGGTCAAGGCAGATCTTTGCAGTCTGGTCAGCGGCCGTAGGCGTCCACACCTAGACTCTCGGACTCCACACTAAACCCTTTTGCAAACTGGCTTGCAACGTCACGACAGGACAGCTGACTCGCTCCACCCTAAACCCTAAACCCTAAGGTTCTAGAATTGGACTTGGGTAGTGATGCTGATGACGAGAACATAGGGCTCCGGGGCCCCTTTTGCCTTCGGATGCGCAGGGATTATAATATTTATAATATAGACTAGTCCATCACATACAAAAGTGTATCAAAAAAAGATCACAACATATCATAATACATCCGAACATGTCAGAATATGTCAGAATATACTTGCGCACACTCTTGGAGAGGTTCTTCTGGCTTTTTACCGTCTTCTTTCAAGGCGCCCAGGGCATCGCCTTCTTCCTCGTTGCCGTCCTCGCTCGCGGCCTGGATCTCGCCCTTGCACTCCTCGATCGCTTAAAGAAAAGAGGGCTTTTAAAAACCCTCTTGAAAACCCTTTAAAAAAAAAACCTCTTGCACTCCTCGATCACCTTCCGGATGTCCGTGACCTGTTTTTGAGCAGGGACTGCAATGCACTAAGCCCTGAATCACGGACATGAAGAGTGGTTTTTTGGGTTGTGTGTCTGTGTGTGTGTGTGTCGAGATAGGACAACATCATGAGCGAGGCAGGTTTGGGACCATCTCACTTCACCAACTCATGGAGCAGAAATTCTCAACTTTTTCTTCGCAGTTGAAGCAGAGGTCCACACACCGACGCCTAGTAGCAATCCTTTTCAGGGGCCAGGCTTTTCAGTCCTGGACCTCCGCAAGCACAATTCTAAAGAGTTGGGAAAGCCTGCAGAGTCCGGGCAGCACCCGGCTTCCAAGAAGCTTGATGGAGCACTGTGATGGTGGGGCGGGGCGTTTCAACAGTGTTGTTGAAACCGGGTGCAGAGCGACTAAGAAACCAAGGGAACAGAAAGGTCCCTCTGAGATGAATTTGCCGGCGCCCTCCCTAAAAGGCGCAAAAATATCGTCTCGACATACGGAGAAGAAAAGCACGCCGAGGATGAATTCAAGGCTGGAAGGGTTCATAGCAATGATGGGCCAAACCTTCAACACGAATTCGCAAGCGCGTCTTGGACGGCTAGCCAGGCTTCTCTGAATTCCGTGATCGAACCTTCCAATGCCTGGGGCTTCGCGTGGCTGGTGTTTGCCGCTAACTCAGCATGCCGGGTAGCTCGGTTATCTTTCTGTCGGGTTGCTCTGTGACGCGGCGGGCGAGGTTCGGTGGGTCCTTGCTTAGAGCATCGTCCTCATCAATCTCGTCGATCTCCGGCAGGTCCATGTCTTCGTCTTCCTCCAGCGAGCCATCAGAGTTCCTTTCGACCGGATCGGCAAGCAGCTCCCAAAACTTGCGCATCGACTGGCGGTGCGTGGCATAGACAACCAGAAGAAGGAATGCTGCGGCGCCGTGACCGATCAAAGAGGTCATTTCCCAGGTGCCAACTGCGGAACGCAAAGGCATCTGAACGAAGGAAGCTCCGGTGACCAGCCCAGAAAGGGTGGAGACCTGCGTGTGGAAGGTGGTGATATACTCCCAAGGCAAAGTGCGTAGAAGCAGGACACTCAGCAGCCCCGTGGCGCAGCAAAGAGCCACGTCCACCACAAGAAGCAACAGCAGATAGAGGATCCAGTGAAGCCTGCCCAACAAACAGATCGCCAGCGGCGCGCTAACCAGAATGACCCAGGTCGCGAGGAAGAACTTCCAGAACATCTTCGCGTCCAGGCAAGGCATAAGGAGGACCGTCAAGACCGCCTGCAGAAAGCCCTCCACAGTGTAGAGCATGCTGATCACATCCAAACTTGGCCCAGTCTCCGCGATAAGCATCGGGAAGACATTGAAGCCGTAGAAAGAGAATCCGAAGACGTTCAGACACTGGCAGACGGCCAGTACACGGAAGCAGCCGTCGGCCCAGGGGCTCCCGGACGCCTCTATCTGCTGCGAGCGACGGGTCGCACGGGAGTTCCGCAAGATGTCATCCAAGCCGCCGATGTGCGTCAACTCTCGTGCAAGAATCGGTGTCAGCGGGGTGAAGTTCGTCATGTGATTCACCAGGGTCGTCCGATCTGCGAAAGTCCCCCGCATACGCGCCATGGTGGTTCTCCGAGCTGTGGATCGCAGGCCGCTCTTCTTGCCCGTGCGTCCTCGCCTTAGGTTCCCCGTTTTGGCCCTGCCGAACTGGGCTGTCATGCTCGGCTCCAACTTGCCCATCTTTGCCGCTTGCCCTTCGCCCTTGCTTTCACCGGGCGACTCCCCAAGCACGTCCACCTCAGGCATCACCACCGAGAACGCTACCTTCGCACCGGCTCGCGGAGTGGCTGGCGGGGTGGGCTGCGGATCGATCTTTGCCTCTTCGCCAGAAAAAGCGGACTCGTTGGTCTTGCGAGCCCGAGGGCTGCCGCCAGGGCACTCCTCCCGAGCCTCCGCACCTCCGAGCTCCTTCTGAGCCTCCCTCATCCGCACTGCACTCCAGAAGCTCTTTCGTGGCACCAGCGCCCAAGCGAAGAGTATCACTAGGAGCGGCGAGTTCAAGGCGATGGCTCGCATCCACCAACTTTGGAACTGAGGCTGTGCCAAGCAGAAGCTGACAAGGCTTGTCCACACACAGCCAAGTGGGGCAGTGACATAGTAGAAGAGGCTGCGGAACTTGCTCTTCCCTTCCGAGGGCACCGTCATAAGAGGCCCCACGATCACTGCACTGTGGGTGAGATGCAAGGTCCCAACAGCCACCAACATGCCGATCCCAGACACGCTGTCCAGGCTTGCCAGCGTCAAGCAGCACATGGAGAGTATCAGGCAACTCAGCACCTGCAGCTTCAGACCCCAGAGCTCTGTCCTGAAGTTGCTCAGAGCATTGTGGCTCAAGACAGTGAAGCATTTCGCCCCCATCAAGACCAGGCCTTGAGTCGTTGCGTCTACCTCTGACTGCCCCTTCGACTTCACCAGAACTTGGTAGAGCGGGAAACAGAGCAAAGGGCCATAGGAGAATCCGGTGGCGATCCAGAATATGCAGAGAAGCAGAGGCCGCTCATCTGAGTCCGAACCCATGGCCGCTCTACGAAGAAACCGAACCCCAAGCTCCCCAAAGCTGAATTGCACAGCAGGATGGCCAAGGAGGAACGGCAACTACAGCTCAAGAAACCTCCCGTGACGACACCCCTGGAATGGATGCTGGACTCCGAAGTCAACTGCCTAACTAACTCGCACCTTGAGCCGTGGCCATTTGATTTTGGGTTCGAGGCAATCACTCTTACGGAACTATCATTTCCATTCGGTACTACCATTAAGTAGTATTGCGGAGCTATTATTTCCATTAGGTACTACTCTTCGTAGTAGTACTATGATTACTAGCAGCTCTAGGTCAGATCGTGCTGCAACTCTGAGACTCTGAGTCACGAGCTCGCTGGCGATTCCGGTTGTACTGGCTTGCCCGGTGGTTCTCGAAGTACGCCCGGTTCCAAGAATTCATCCTTGGGTTTTTCCCTGGGGTTTAGGGTTTAGGGTTTCATCCTTGGGTTTAGGGTTTGGGGTTTGCATGTATTCGACGCAGAATGAAAGAGCGGACGAGCTAGCCTTGAATTCACCCGCTCTCAACCCATGATCTCTTCAGACCTTTCAATGGCATGTGGAGGCTCTGGTTGGTCATATAGTCATCCTTGTTCGTGATCAGGCTGTTGTGGGCATCGGTGAAATTTGTAAGAGCTTGGTTCATCTCCTCGCGATTGTTGAGATACTTGGCTTTCTGTGGGTCGGTATCTGCCATCGCCGACTCTTGCGTCTGAGTGAAGGCTTCGATCTCACTGTTGGCACCTGTACAGGCATCCAGGAGGGCAGAAAGAACCCCCCCCCCTCTTCCAAGCCTCCCGTGCCAAAGCAAGTGCGGAAACCCCTCAAAGTCGTGGCCTTCGGTGAGTCCCGTGAGGAAGCTCTTCTCTAAATCTTCCAGCCGCGTAAAGAACTCCCGGCTGTTGTCCAGCATGCTCTTCACAAGATCCATGGTTTTGGCCTCGAAATCGGACAGTGCCTCTTCGATACCTCGGCTGAGCACATGCCCGGCCCGCGCAATGCGTCTCCTTCTTGCTGACAAGCAGCTCTCTTGGAGCGCGATCTCGTTCGCCATGAGCTGATTCTCCAAGTCGCCGAGTTCGTCAAGCAAGTGCTTCAGCAGGTCATCAACCTCTGCCCTGGCCCCATCTTCCTTGTCCACTTGGGACCTCGGCATGTCTCAGCATGTTCTTTGGCCAAGCGAAAGACTTCAGGGCTCGGATTACAGCTTGGGCTGCTGCAGGACCTTCTTCTTGACACTCTTGAAGTCTCGGATCTGTTGGAAGGCTTCGTCTTCACTCTCTTTCTCCGAAGCGTAGATCGCCTGTAAACTCCCATGTGCTCCACAAAAATGCTAGACTTGCCGCCAAGTAAACGCATGACATGTCTACAGCCTTTTCGAAGGCTGAAACCTTCCTGAGCCGAACTTCGTTCTTCTCCTGCAGATGCGTACTAATAATAATAATAATAATATAATAATAATAATAATAGTACTAATAACAATACTGTTCTAATAAGAATAGTAATAATAATACTATTATTATAATAATAACAATAATAAGAGGACATACCGGCTGCTGGCTCTGTTCCTCCATTCGAGCTCGAAGGCCCTTGATCTCTTCGGAGAGCTTATCTCGATAGTCCTGCCGACTAGCCGTGCGGAATGCAGCACACCAAGAGAGCATAAGTTTTGCATGCAGTTCCGACGCATGACTCGGGCAGCACATTGCCAGTGAAAATCGTTCTGCCTTCAAGTAACTACATTGATTAAGACCTTTAGAACTCGCAAGCATACTCACTCTCGCTCGCCACATCACCCCTCCACACTGGGCGAAGTCCTCCTTGAGACCTTGATAGCATTGCAAGACCAAGACATTCTCAGGCTCCACCTCCCTGGAGAACATCTCCTCGAATAAATCCTCCGTGCAATCGAGGAATGCCGTCCTGAAGCCAGGCACAAATTGAACATGGAGACATTCGTTTGCGCACCTGTACTGGTCAGCCAAGGTTCTTCAGCTTCTCAATTGTGGCCGACTTTTCCTGAGTTTACATCATAAAATCAAACGTGTGCATGGCTTTCGAGTCACCACACTGCTGGGGTCTCAAACCCGTCGTAGCGCTGAGAACCACCGGCTGCTGATCATCTTTGGCCAAGCTACTGCCTTGGCCTTCTGCTGCATGTGCTCTGCCTGCTCCTTCTCGCGGACCTGGCGAGACCATCTGTTCCGACGGCTGCATGACACACAGGATTTTGAAAGCGCCCTGGGACTTGCCGCAAGGGTCTGCGGGCAAAGCTTGTAGCGCGACGGCTTTCTTAGCGGAACTCCCCCTTCATGTCGCGGATTTCATGTCGCACTTCGTGTTATCCTACACGGCGAACCTGTCGCCCTGCAGTTGCTCAGAGCATCATGGAACAGGATTACAGGCAATGGTGCCGCTCCCGGTACGTGCTGGCACAGCCATATATGAACGGGACAACTGTTGCGGCAACATGTCAGATGTCATTCCTGTTTCAACACTATCCTCCCAACCTGAAATAAACGCCAATACCCAAAGCGCTCGCATCCAAGTAGACCTTTAATCCAGCATTCGGTGTGGCTTACGCCCGCAATGTTGGAGTGTCTTGGGCAATACGGGCTTTGGCGTTTGATGCTAGGTCCCCACGAAGGCCTCTGCCAAAGCTCCCTCATTGGTATAGCAAAACCAGAATAGGGTTTACAAAAACCCGTTTTGCAACAGGCTTTCCACTTCGCCCGGAGTTGGAGCAAGCAGCAGACCCTAAACCCTAAACCGTGCTCAGCCACACTTCCAGGCCTCGGTAAGCTCTTCCAGGTTGTAGCCTTCCTGTGCCTGGGCCACGGCCTCCGGGGTTCTGGCATCTGCTTTTTTCCACATCTGCTTTTAATAACAAGGATCGGGTTTAGGGTTTCGACTCTCAGAAGGTTTGGGGTTCGGTGAAGGACGGTAGCAACAGAAACTTGCCGTAACTGCCACAGCCCTTGAATGCAGAACGGCAGAACAGTCTCTCTTCTGAAACTGCTTCGGGACTGCTCCAGGCACAACTGTGCCTTGCGGTCGATGAGCATGTAGTCCAAATACTTGAGATGCGGCAGATATGCGAGCCTCACTGCTCGATTCTAAATGCAGCTTACGTCCGATTCAGTCGGGATATGGGCGGCAGCTGCTTGGCTTCAGTCCCGGTGGCACATGTTGATTGTAGGAGTCATGGTTGCACACCTTGTTACCCTCCATGCACAGACATCTCAAATTGGCAAACTGGCGCAGGTAGTCGATCTGCTTCCTCAGGAATTCCAATGTATGCCGAGTCAGATCGCCCCGCAGAGAGCTTTGGCAAAAGAAGCTGCTTCTTGCAGGCCAGGCATCAAGTCCTTCATGTTGTTGTGGCCCAGGGACAAAATATTCAGCTTCGGGCAACCGTCCAGTCGGTCTGGCACAGCAAAAATGCCACAGCAGCAAGCCTAGTTATTCCATAGTTCGTCCTACAAACACTCTCAAGTTCAAGGGAACGATAGCAAAAGATAACAACAGACAACAGCAGCAGCAGGAGACTGCACCAGCAGCTGGAAATGCACACTACTAGGTCACGAGGAAGGCCACATGTCATGACAGAAGATGGCCTTTGATCTCCTCAATTTGGTTGTGGTACAGGGACAAGTCCAGCAGCTCGTGCAGGTCGTCCAATCCTTCTATTTCACCTGCAGTCTAGACCACTGTGTGGAGGTGCTGGCTTCTGCCCCCCGTGTATGGAGACGATCCTGCGTCACAAATACCGCGGCTGATGGTGCGACAAAGCAACGGATGTTGTTGAAGGAAAGGTCCAGCCAGGTCAGCTGTCTCAAGTGTCCCAGGTTGGAAACCCTTGCCGAGCCAGCTTGCTGGGATCATGCCGGAATCTGCTGCTACACTTTCATGAAAGACATGCAGGGTGGTGCATCACAATGAAGACTCAAGCCAATCACCCGCCAGGTGACTTGTCGATGATGTTGTTGTCAAGTCGAAGCGTCAGCAGTGTGTCAAAGTTGTTCAAGTTGGAAATCTTGGTGAACAGAAGCCCAACATGTCACATGAAAACAAAACTCTGCTCATCTCTGCTCCCTCCCTGCCTCGATAATGTTCTTGAAGGACAGGCGAAGTGAGGTCACTTGCGGAAATTCGTTGGTTGGCCACGCTTTGCCATCTGTTCGGACAGGCTCCTCGACACCTTCGATGAGGAGCTCCTCGCTGATCACCTGCGGCTCCACAACCTCGGCCTTCTTCTTCCTTGGCTACAGCCGTTGTTTGGGGAGTCGACATCCCGCATCTCGCGGCGACATCGTCTTATAGTCTTGACGGGGCATGTAATGCTGCTGAGCGGCCGTTGCTCGATGGCAATTTTTGCCACATTTGCATTCGAAGAACCTTGGCCTAGGCTGGCCAGGGCATCAGCCATGAGCCAGCCTCCTCTGGGGCTTGCGGCCCCTGGATGCCACCCTCACGTGGCTTGAGAGGAAGCTGCGGCTGTATCAATGCTCCACACAGATAACTGCAGCAGAAACGCCTTGCAACAGTGCAAGGCAGACCGCAGACCCCTCTTCACCTCAGGCACCAGCTGTTCCGCTTCAGCAAGAAGGGCCAAGGCTGCCCTCCATTGTGCACCTTTCTTGCCTGGCACACTTGAGAAGCACATCCCCGAAAAGACGTAATTCTGGGCCGGGGACGGCTTTTCCCTACTCTTCCGGCCAATCCGCCGGGCAATCAACTCAGAACCCAAGTGTTGCAGCTTTGTTGACGACTCGACAACTCCCCAGAAAACGGACCAACTGTGGAATGTTGAGTTGGAGAAACTCACTCCAACGCAACCGTACTGCTCAAAGCTGACCCCAAGCACAAGCAGTCGCCAAGTCACAAGCGAAGACACCACTGCTCAGTGCTAGACTGCTGGGCGCTTGCTGCCGAGCAGCACACCTGAACTTGTCAAGGGCAGTAGTGAGCGCTTGACTCGGTGCCGATACAATTACATTCAAGTCGCCTTCTCGTGGCAGCGTGAGGCAAGTGGCCACTTGTGACCCCGTGGCAGACATCCATGCGCGAAAATCGAAAAGACAGCTTTGCCCTCCCTCGAATCAGCTCCTAATACTGGGACGACGACGACCACCACTGCCACTGCCACCACAGCGCAAGACCACAATAATAACTACAACCAACCAGCAATCAGCAACAGCAGCAGCAACTACAACCACAATTACAACAAGCACAACAACACTACTACCACCACATTCTGCCACCACTACCACTACCTCTCCCACTGCCGCTGCCACTCAACTACCACTGCCGCTACGACCACGACGACGACTAGTACGACTACTACTCCTCCTCCTCCTCCTCCTCCTCCGCCTCCTGCCGCTATTGCTACTACTAGTACTACTACAACTACTCCTACTGCTGCTGCGACTACTACTGCTACTGCTACTACCACTACCACCACCCCCACCACCACCACCACTGCTACTAGGCTGTCGTTCCAAAAAAGTAAAGAGGCCGTGCAGTGCCGGCCCTCTCAGTTCCAGAAGATAGTGGACATGGAACTTCATGATGATGACGAAATGAGAAGACTGTGGCAAGATGATAACGACAGTCATGATAGTGAAAGACACCAACAAGATGACAGTGACCATGTGCAAGTGCAGAAAGTGTCGGACACGCAGAGGTTCTAAATGTCTTGGAACAGGTGACTGGCAGGCTGGCACTGTCCATTGCGCTTCGGCAGCATCTGCTGACTGATCTTCGACACACTCAAAACTGCATCCACATGTTGAGAAATCGCATTGCAACACGTCCGAAACTCACCGCTCCTGCCATGGTGTTCGAAGCTTCAACGTCCTCCCCACCTTTGATAAGCATCCTTTGCGAATATCGTGCATGGCTTGTTCGGGTGGCGCGTACTCGTACTACTACTACTACTACTGCTACTACTACTACTACTACTACTACTATTACTAGTACTAGTACTACTACTACTACTACTACTACGACGACGACGACGACGACGACTGCTGCCACTGCTACTGCTACTGC